TACTTACTATGGGACGGTGCAGTTGCTTGTTTGGCCGTGGAGGATGCCAAACATTGGTTGTTAAGAACGACTACCTTCATTGTCGGATTCAAGCTTTAATTTCGAATCGATGTGTAGACAACATGGGGCCCAGGCGCGAAACTATCGCGACCGTTTTCCATTCAGTCTAGGTGAATGGCGTGGTTCAATAAATCACATGCTAGACTTTGTTAGTAGGCAATTTCTGGAATAATGTGCTAGTTACCTCGAATGTACAGTCAACCCTTTTCGGAAGATTCTACGCTCAAGGACGCCAAAGACTAAGACTAGTAAAATAGCTGAGATTCTTTGATTCAGGTTTGCAGCTCGGCAAGGTTGAATGCTTGAAAGGTAGAGGTATAGACATAATGAACAGACCATTGGGAACTTTACAAATTGGACCTGGCGTTCCCATAGCGCATCATTCTTGAAATGTTGGGTGTAGGATTATGTTTGGGCTCCACTTGGCAGCGGTGGGACTTGAAACTACATTTGTAGACTCTTAATGGATTATCTGAAGTTGGGGAGAATGACTGCAAGATATCATCTGGATTCTAGGGCTGGCAAAAGACACGCCGAAAGAGAAACATGGAAGTACAACGAGTGGAAATTCTTGTCTATTTACCTTTCGGGCTGCGAATCATGACTTTCCCACTGTGTTCTCTCCTTCCCCAAGTACTTGCCTTTCAGTAAGACTTCAGAGGTGCTTATGAAAGGTACTTGTCATGCTCGCTGTGGCTCCTAGAATTAACACTTTTTGATTTTTGCACATCTGTTGATTTCTCGTTCCTCTCAAAGGCTCGGCTAGAGTGCCCTACATGTTCCAAACATTATATGTTCCATCTGTGTCTCTTCCAAGTGCAGGGCTCACGTTCTGGAGGATGGGCCCACGTAACCGGTCAGAAAAGGCGACAAAAGAAGCCGTGATTTCAGGCCCGGATTTCAACTTTATTCCAAAGTTGGACAGGTATGGAGATCTAGGGGGCCTCGTGGCATGCAAGCGTCTCGTTTTGGAGCAACTTTTATTTCGGATGATCTTCGGACAAGTCGCCAGCTTTGCTCTTGCCACTCGTAGCCGCCGTCTTCAGCTCAGCCTTAAGATATGCTTCGCGATCCAAGAGAGTACGCCTTCAAACTTGAGACTCCACCCTATAAACCTGTTTTAACCTCACAGCCTAAACATCAAAAGAATATTAGCCTTGAACCGGCCATGTAAAGCCTACAGCACCTATAGATTTTGAACCGAAGTCTGATCAGAAATTCTTTTTATAAAGCCCAGACCTAGAAGAGTTGCAAACGGAAGAAGGCTAGTAGACCATACCGATTAAAACCCAATCAACCCTACCCAGAGTCGTCATGAGTGTCAGAGAAGAAACTCTTCATCTTGCACTCAAGGGGCCATCAACTGCTTGCACGCATCAATCGTGTTGCCATCCAAGTAATGGGTCCGGACGATCTCCTGAATGATGAAAGCTTGAGGCCATATCTGTTTTGTATTGGTTGTTATTGTGAGTCAGCAAAGTAATGCAGCTGGGGCACGCAGATGCTCTTCAATTCAAGTTTCTCCAAGTTCGTCGAACCCACAGAAAAGATTTCCTTTCCCTGACGATTCTTTATCCCGAATCGGTTGCTGGAGGCATAATAGTACGGATTCGACAGCCAGCGATCTCCTGTCAGGGGCATGACATAAACACGGGAAGACACGCTTGATTCTTGACTAGAATTTATGTCCTTCGTCAGTCATAGCGCTGGGCGCGGCTGCAGGCTTCTTCTTGGAGGTTGTCTTACTGCTTGTCGGCTTCGGCTCGGGCTGCTCGTCCAACAAGCCGGAGCCATCAATGCACGCTTCTGCTTCTGATCCTGCAGCTAGCTCGGTAGCTTCCGGATTCTGCTCATCACTTGCGTCCACAGTCTCCATCGCAGCAGCTGGTCTTTTGCATGGAGTAGCTTTGGCTTTGGCCTTCGTCTTTGCATTGGCTTTCGCCTTTGCTTTCGCTTTTCCTTTCGGCTGCGATTTCGGCTGTGATTTCCCTTTGGCCTGATTCAGGGATTTGAAACATGCCTAGAATCTCGCTGTGTGCTGATATTCATTTTTCAAGGCCTTGGCTTTCGGGTTCACAGTGGACTCGCACGCAGGAGGCTCAGCATCGTCCTGCAGAAAGAGTGGACAGCACAGACTGCAACTCACAAGACACTGCTCTGTTGTACAGCAGAAGCATTGCTTGGCAGTGTCCTGGTCGGATTCATCAGTCAGGTCTGTGATGGGAGGAAGAACTCCCATGCTGCAAAGTCCCTACTCAGGACTCAGGACTTACCTTTCGGATCTCAGCCAGCGCTATGCAAGACGGTGTGCTGAAGCTCAGTGAATCTAAGTTGGCACCAAGGTAGCATGTGAGGTGTTAGGTTTGAAACACCAGGGCTCCGGGATGTGTTGGGATTTGGGGATGAAGGATTTAGGATAGGGTTGGGTTGCGTGCATCGGAAACTGAGCTAACAATGACCTGCTGCCTCCGAAACATGCAACTTTCCCGAATGGAAGGAGCTTCGGATTTCGAGCTGGCAAGCGGGGCTGGCAAGCAGACATCCATGTCGAGGTTGATGGGGCTGCTAGGTTTCTTGTAGCGATGCTATCACGAGGCAGGATGACGGAGCCAGTGCTTACCGCTTGGAAGACTTGCACAGATCTGCGCCAAGGCTCTCAAAGCAAAGACACACTGCGGCAGATCTTTGGGGATATGTATCTTTCCCTACGTGGCAGCTGTGTCTCACCTTGACCCCTGGCAACTTAAAATGCCTGGCAAGAGGCTGGAGGACTCGTGTCCGTGCATCGCTTCTGCAACACGCAACAAGTGTTTACTTGATCTCCCTGCTTAGAAATTATTGTCAGCTGTGGTTAGCGGAAAACAGTCTCAGCTTTCCAATAAACAAAACAGAAGCATTGCATGTGAGACACAGCATATGATTCGCAATGCGGCATATGCACGAAAATGCAAAGGCATGCTTCTTTGGATCGTTGCTTACAGCTTGTACCACGAGTCTGCAGCGAGAGACAGGCTGCATGTCAGATACACCTTGGGCTTCAAGGGTGTCAGGCGGTTGCCGAGAAGGTCCACCTGTCAGAGAAATGTGTATTGAACTAGTTCATGCAGCTAGCCTCACAGAAAGACAGATGCCTCCCAAAGAAGCCTGGCCCGAAGGGAACCATTCAGCATGCTCGAATATCGTCCCTGGAAGATGGCCCCAATGTTGTTGAGCTTGCAAGGAATCGGGGGGTCCATGTCACATTCCAGCTTGTTCGGCTTGAAGACGTTGCACATCTTGGATTGCAGGGGTTCGATGTTGTAGCGATAACATACGGGGACAGCGTCGCCAGTGCCCTCAGCAGGAGCCTTGGGTCAGGGACGCCCAGATGGTTCGCAGCCAGGAAGGGATTGCAACAAGCTATGCATAAGGAGGAGGGCTAGTCCTACTTCCAGTGACTTATTAAAAACGCTTATCCTCCAAGCACTTACATCACAGCCATGCGTCCCAAGAAAAAGGCACATGTGACGTCCTGATACTCAGCACTCCGGGCAAGGCGCCGGATGGTACTTGGGCTTCACAATATGGTCCTTCATATCGATCTCTGCCAGTCCATTGACCGTCACCAGCTCGTGGAAGAGCTCCGCCATGCTGAGCACTCTCTTCCGGTACACAACCAAGCTCAAATCGTCCACAATTCTCCACGGGATGCCACTACTCTCTCTTTCCCCAGCACCTACAAGCATGACAAGCAATCTGAAGCCCACTAGAACACGCTTGGCTAGTGCTCCATCACATGCCTCGCAGGAAACATGAAAACTGACTGGTATGCAGGCCTTCCACCAACTTCTCAACGAACATTCCGACATTGAACCCCAACAGCTCGGAAGCCTCCAAGTTCATGGGATCCGTTGTCTCGTTGCCGATGTAAATGTCGAAGTTTTTCATGACCAGGATGCTGGGGCGTCCACGTACACCAGTCGCATGGGCCAACCTGCGCAACATGCATTTCGGAATGAGGGAACACAACAGGAAGCTCTCACAGCTTTCCGACTCTGTCCTGTCATCATTCCGTGCTTGGAGTTCCTGCAAAGGCACCGGAGGAAGATCAAGGAGACGCTTGACATCAAGGGGCTTCTTGCCGTCGTCTAGGCTGAAGTCCGGCGAGCCCGAGGCTCTGGCTGCGGCTCGCGCCGATGCCCCTCCCTGACTTCCACTAGCTCCCGTTGAAGAAGGCAGGGCTGGCACCAGTGCATCAAACTCTGCCTTGAGCTTCAGGAGCTCCTCTCGCTGTGAACTCTGCTCCGGGAAGTTCTCCAAGACGGCCCGCGGCCAGACCGCCCGGTCNNGAAGAGCGAAAGCTGGAGGAGGACGTGTCTCCTCCTCCCTTCCACGAGTCTTCGGAGGGGCATGGGTACTCTGATCCCAGTAGTCATAAATCTTCGCGTGGAGCTTCGCGACCATGTCCTTCTGGTCGGGTCTCAGCACTCCATAGTACTTCAGGGGCCGCTTGTTCTCGTACAACATTCTTTGCAGGCTAGCCTGCGCGAACTCACAGTACCTGCAAGTCGATTCACGTTCATGTTTTCTTGCAGAAAACCCTTGTGCAACTACGAATGTCTACAGCCTGTTCGGCATCAACTCCACCAGCACCACCTGGGCATTCTCTGGCAGCTCCAGGCCCTCCATGTACTTTTCCAGGATGAGTCCATGACACGGGACGCCTTTCCTGAGGACGCAGACAGATTCTTCATTCAATCAGGCCACTTGAAATTCCGCGTATCAGTGTGTGTGTGTGTGCTTGAATGCAACAGTCTTTGTGAGCTTCCTTGGACATGGCCTACATGCCACGTATTATTCTTTTTGGGAATGGGACTGAGGCCAAGTAGCCAGGTCTGACAACAAGAGAGCATAAATGCTTCCGAAGATCAAACAAAGACACTTGTTGGCTACTACACTGCTCATCTGGGATGACTACTTCCTGAAGTTTCCTGCACGCACATCAGAACATGAAGAACAACACTAGATAGGCCGAGGAACTGCTCAGCTCTTGCTGCAGCGCCAGGTCGATTGTCGGCATCGTACCCGATCATGTCAGAAACCTTGATCAAAGGCAAATTGTCGATGAACCCACGGGCGACCGCGTCTGAGCTGGCCCACAAGCTCTGCGAGAACCTCATGTGGCCGGAGTGCACAGCATAGGCGTGCTGGGTGCCGTTGCGCTTGTCCTGCCGATGCTCAGCTTCCTTCTTGAAGGCCATGGTAACAGAGTGGCTGAGGTCCAGGTCCCGCGTCAGCAGGTTGTCTTCGAAGAGCCTTTTGTGTTTCAGCTGAGCATTCACTGAGGTTTGTGCCTGCACCACTGGCATCTGCACATGCCCAAGACTCTGAAGGTTTGTGTTCAGGATCTGGCGCAAAACTTCGACACAATTGGTGACATACTTGATGTCTGCTGGCCAGACAGTAGCATCCATGGTGACGAGCACGACCCTCGGCAGAATCGCACTTTGTCATTCACTCGCAATGAAAGTAAGACAAGCTTCAACATGCCACTGGTTTCGGCGCACAGCATCCACACGATGCCTGAGTAGCAGACACTGGTCCAGATACCTGCAGCTGGTTCAGATACTTGGCGATGCTGCCAGCAACAGCAAGGACGTTCTCGTTGGGCAGCACGTTGAGGACAAACTTCTCCTGCGCGAAGTCAGCCACCCATTTCTCTCCCGTCCTGTCCAGAACACCAAGCCAAGGGTACACGCCGAAACCCCAAACCCAGAATCGTGTCAAGCACATGATGCCTTTGCATTGTACCGCCACATGCTGCTGAGCTGCCTTTGCCGCTCCTTGATGTACTTGACGTCTTTGGCCGCCTGCACAGCCTCCTGGCTCTTGTCGAGGGCGCGCGCCTTCAGCTGCTCCAAATCGGCTTTGATCTTGCTGCTCACCTGTGCAAGCGTAGCTTCCGCAACCTTTCTTGCAAGCTCTTCCTCATGCTTCTCGTTCTCAAGCCATGCGCGATGTTGAACCGCCTCCAAGAGCTGCCTGATTCACGGCTTGCATGCATTGAAAAAGTCGAGTCAGTCATTTGGAGCTCAATTTGGTTGCGCGTTTTGCTTTCACAAGGAATCTGCAACATAAACCACGTACATGCCAGGTTTTCTGTTCTTGAACCCAGACCACAGACATAATTGGCAGTAGCTGAATTTTGTCTGACCGCGCCTACACATCGACAGGGATTTGAGGTCGCCAGGAGGGACAGTGGCTGTCAAGGCGTGCTCTATTTCTGGGTCGAGGCCTCCTGCCAAGAACTGCTCCTTCATTCGCTGCGCCATGGTTTGGAAGTCCGTGCTCGGCACCGCCTTTTCCATCAGACCTCTGAAATGAATGAAGCCGCCCGCGAGCGCATGCAGCAAGGAGGCATCCTTGAAGCCGAGCGCCTTCCTGAAGGAGGCTGGGGATCTGTCGAAGTCGGCCGTGATTCGTTCCAAGAACAAACTGACCTAAGCTATGTGCTGGTACCGCAGACTGCAGAAAAGCAATTAACGCCAGGACAGAGGAACAAACAACAAGCCAGGAAACCAACACATCGTCGTCGCCATTGGTCAGCTGGACATTCCATGACTCGAACTTGTCCCGCCCGCTGGTGAACCCTCGATTGAAGACCCCACGAGCTATCGGCTCGTGACTGATGAACTGCCGCATCCCTCGCAGACGGACTGCTTCAGTGAGGTTGGCGACAATCGGGTCCGAAACATGCAACTTCAAGCACGCCATGGCGCCAGCCTCATTCTTGCCTATGCTAAACGCTCTGGCCACCGCACTTGCATTCTCCCAATCCTGAGCAAGACTGCACTAGCAGAGATCGACAGGAACGGCAGCACGCATCAAGAGCATATGTTCTTCAGAGTAGGAAATGGCTCCACAGAAGCGGCATCGGCCGAGTTCGCCCGCTCCAAGACCTTCGTCTGCCTCATCAGCTGGAAGCAATTTGCTTGCTTCCTCGTGGCAATGGATGCCATGGTTATTCCTCTCGGGAAATGTCATGAATCATGCTGCCACACTCTTGCAGAATCGCAGGCACAGGCAACACTGCTAGAACTAGAAGACTAGTAAAAGACATGCTTCTGTCCGACCTCGGGATGCCAGCACCTGGTCCTTGACGGAGGAGAAGCGGCCAACCGTGCCATAGATCGTGGCGATGCTTTTCTGCAACAGAGGAGAAAACAACTTTTGAATGAACCTGGACGAATTTAATTTCAGAACTCTTCCTTCATAATCAAAATTGACGTGTCCCTCCAGTGGCAGAATGCCATGTAATGTCTGCATTCCACATTCAATATTTTAGATGTGCCACTGGGTCAAACATGTTCACACTTCTCCATGGCATGCTGAAGCATTCTTATGTCCCACAAGTCCTTGAAGCCATACGGAAGCTCGTGAGGCTCGATACCCAGTTCTCGGATACCCTGCACCACGATCAGCATCGTCAGGCTTCTGCGATATCCCTTGACGTAAGCGACGCTAAATGGGCGCAGCATGCAACCTGATGAAAACATGAAGCTTCCAGTCTTAGTCTTCTGAAGCAAATGACAGCAGAAGTGCAAGACTCTCTGGGAACGAAAAAGGTCCGCGCTGTGTGCATCAGAGATTGCATCCAGCGGCTTCCAGGCAAAATCCAAGAACGCCTTGCCAGGGGCCACAACAGCAAGCTTTTCAACGCCCGGGATGTCGCTGTCCGTGCGGAACCTGAGGATGCAATGGGCAGCGGAGGCAACAGAATAAAAGCAGCGCTGATTTCGTGAGATTCCAGCCAACATTCAGGGTTTAAAAGGTTGTCCCGTCAACTTTTAGCTTCGGGGTTCGGGCTTCACCATCCGAGAGACGTCTCTGTGGCAATCAACTCCAGGAGGCGCTCTGTGTCTTCAGGCTCCATGAGCCCCGGCAATCCGAAGTCGGTTCGGAAACCCAACATCCATGGCCGCAACAGCACACCTCCGGGATTCTCCAGGCCTGCGGCGTAGGTCAGCCTCCAGCTTCAATTTTTTTGCATGGGACTGCAAGCATGCGAGCCTGACAGCACAGCATGAAACGCCGAGTTGCTGCGGCTCTGGAGGATAGCGCTCATCCAGGTACGCGGCGAACTCTTGCTTCAGAGCCTGCATAGACGTGTCATTACAGAGGCCTGTGACGCTCGCCCACGAAACCGCCAACCTGGGAGCTGTAGCGCTTCTGCAGATAGCGGTCCGGACCACCACAAGGCATGACAGTGTCACGGAACCTGAGCTAAGCTTAACGGTTTTCACTAATACATCAATGATTTCTCTTCATTCGAGCGTGCCAGGAACCAAAACATGAGAATGACAGAGAATGCCATGCTGCTGCACTGCATTGCGTTTATCTGTTGGACATGTGCAAACAGCAGACTGACTAAATGACTTTGAATGCAGAAGAAGTCGCCAGCAGACCAGCTTCTCAACGTACAGAGGACGATCCACATCAGCTGGCTTGCTGCCCTTTCCACGGCCCTTCTTAGCAGCATCCTTGTCAGCCTGGCCTGACTTACGTTTTTTCGGAACCTGGCTCATGGCGGGGAGCTACTTGCAAGGTCGCGCAGGCGGGATGCCCCAGCAGCTTCCGCAGAAGCAGGCCAAATGCCTGCGCAACATGTTGGAGTCCTCCAAAGTAGGTAGCACATGAGATGTTTCCGAACTTCATCCAGCAAGGCAGTCACGCAAGAAAACTGATGCTTCTCTCACTTCAGCACTTGCGACAAGAAAGCGTTGCATCATGTTGCTGGTACAGCGAAGTAGACCCCACGCAGACGTGTCCATTTTGGGACCGCCGGAGACCCAAAATCCGACACATACGCACGGACAAAAATCAAGAATGTAGATTCCATGTCTAAGTGTCCATTTTTTCAGGGGCAGCGAGCAAAAAGCCGACACTTCGGGGCGGATAACATGTCGAATGTGAATTTGGAAGCAGCATATGTGTCCAATATTTCCCCGGGGCGGGCCCAAAATCCGACACCTACGGGGGGGGTAAAAAAAGGAGGTCGCAAGTGTCCAAAGCAACATTGCTCTGGACACTTCCGGCCTACTTTTCTGAACTTGCGGCGCATGTCCGCGCTCGGGTTTTCGTCCGAAAGTGCGCTGAAAGTAGCAGCAGGGGTCCAAAGCAATATTGCTTTGGACACTTGCTGGGGTACTGGCCGGCGGCAAGCACAGGTGTCCAATATCAATGGCTGTGACAACAAGGCAATGCTTGGGAATGTCCATGCCGCACCCCATTTTTTTCCATTTTTGCTTTCGTGGTGAAAATTGGCCCAAAAATAAAAACACGGGATTTCCTGGCAGGCATCCATCTCATAAATGGCACAACAGTCCTTGAAAAAGTAGACATTGCGATTTCCGTGCGAAGCCATTTTTTTCCGCAGATAGCAGACTTGCCGAAATATGCTCGAAGTTCAGCTTGATCTGGCACAAGCTTCTGAGAAGCTCTCGACACAAACTTCTCGGCGTGTCCCCCTCCTGCCTCCCCAACAGAGACTTTAGTCTACACAATGTTTCAGGATGTCACTCAATGACCACAGGAGCGGCTACGGCCGCGCCCTTGCTTTTCCCTTCGGGATCGCCTTGGGCTTGGGTGACGCTTTGTCAATGGCGCGTCGCGCCAGGGTAAGTGCATCAGCCCACGGCACACCACGAGTCCATGCATTAGCAGCAGCCTGATACGTGATACGCTCCTTGGACCTCTGCACATATTGCGCAGCATCCTTGGCGTCATTCTTGCCGCGCTGCAACCTGGTCATGTTTCAAAAGACATGCCGCAACAAGCAAGAGCAGTTTCGGGGTGAAGCAAAAAGAACATGCCAGCACGCAAGTGGTACGCACACGAACGGGCAGCCAAGTAGCCGCACCGTATTGGAAGCACTTTCAAAACTCTGGACTCGGCCAAGATCGGAATCCACAGCATGGGGCCCGCTGCTCACCGAGCACCTCAAATATTCAAGTTGGCAGCTGCGGCACATGTGGGTCGCTAATTGCAGAGTGATCACGAGACGATTAATGCATCCACGCCAGTGCCTTTGCGCACGCAGCCAAGGCACGCAGACACATCCAGTAGCGGCGCGTCATTCAGGGCGCCACGCATCCATGACTCCAAGTAGTCAGCGGCCCGTTCCATCTTGTAGCTGCGCAACACCGGAAGATATTTGGATAGATGGTCCTTGTAATCGTCCCCAAGTGGATTCCGAGGAATCAAACCTGCCAGATTTCAACGAGAACCCCCGAAGCCAGCAGCCTAAAGCAGACCATGCAGACCAGGGGCCAGCCGGCAGGCCCAAAGGATGCCGCACGAGCGCCACTCTTCGAGGATAATAAAGCAGCGCCGCTCGATATGTACTGCTTGCCATGTACTGCTTGCACCTGCCCAGTTGCCATGCTGTCATGTCAAGGATATTACCTACTGACCAGGACCAGCCAACAAACGTGCATCCATGCGCCTCAGAATGACATCCTGCGGCATTGGTTCCACATTTCTCCAGTAGGACTCATCTACCTTTTCCAGCTCATCCATGCCTCAGTGCACAGCCCCAAACAGACAGTGGATCCCAGGCTTCGTGAATGTTCCTGATTGCAAGTCCCGAGCTCAAGCGCTCTCGGCGACACATGTGGAATGTGTGTGGTGCTCCAGGTCCGGAAAGACCAGTGACCATGATGGGCACTGCTTCGGACAGAAAACCTTTCCTGGGCGCCACACAAAGAGACAGACATGCATGACAGCAGCACAGAAAACAGAATGCATGAACGCAAGTTAACATTTTATTGGCCGAGACACCAATCCCGAACAGCATCGACCTTGGAGGCTCGCCTGAATTTCTCATATGGTCGCGGTACCTGATCCAAAAACGCCTGGACTACCTGCAGCAAGTCGTCGGAGGTCTCACAATTGCGCCCATGCTTCACCATGTACAACGCGAGGCTCCCGAAGAACTGGTCCACGTCCTCGTGGCTATGCCCGCTCCGTAGGTTATGGAGCGAGCATTCCATCAATCTTCCTGACAGGATTCGAATTGAAATATGAGGACATGGAAGAAAGACTGCGCATTCCGAAAACCCAGCACACTGTAAAGATGCTAGAGTAAATTCGCAGACCCCAAAATGCCGAACCCGTACACTTGGAAATCTACCTGAAACGGTACACCCGAAACCCAGAAGAACCCTGCAAGCGGACGCCTGAGGAAACCAAACTGGACATCCATTTCAGGTAGGGGTTGTTTTTCATCTCCCTCACTGTGTTGTCCGCCTGAATATTCAGGCGGACCTGCGCCAACTCCACTTTGCATTCCTTCTCCAGAACGGTCAAGGCGTGGGACGTGAGCTCTATCATCGTCGAGGAGTTCTTCGGCTGGTCGTGGTCACTGAGATACACAAGAGTCGCATAGCCATGAATGATTATGGCCGTCAAGTGGCACCGTGGTCGATTCATTGTTGACAGGTCCTGAGTCATGTTCATGCGCAGGAATGAACGCCTGACAAGATGCAAAAGGCAAGCACGAAAAGCCAACACTTCAGAAACCAGCAATCCAAGGATCTTTACTCTTCATGACTCTGCCGCGGGGCAGGCAGAATTTAGCCTGGTCCATGCTATCGATTATCAAGCTTATTTGCTGCTTGCCGCGGAGACGGCTCTCTCCACGCAGCGACCAATACGCCAAGCGATCTTCGTACTGAGCACGGAGGTGCTCTGTGTACTTCTCCAATTGGCCCTTTCTCGCATTGAGATGACCAGATAACTCCTGCAGCAGCATTTTGTGTCTCAGGCACACATTGCAGACGGAGTGATTCGATTGGCGGCGGAACTTCATGTGGCAGAACTCCTCATACCAAACCTCGGCACTGCAGACTCAATGTGAAAGTCACATACAACGAGACATGGTGCGTGATGTTCAAGCTGCGCTGCTCTCCAAAAATAGCTGAACGCAATCTTCTTCAGGGGCGGCTCCCGCATCATATTCATCTGATGCCAATATTCCTTGAGCGTGCCTGGGGGAAGGTACCTGACCTCCTGATGTGTGCGTTGAATGACCACTGATTTCTTCTTCTTTCTAGGCTTGCTCTGCTTGGTCATGGGCTTCACTTCGGATTCTAGCTCATGATTCGGCTGTGCTGCATTCAGCGCTGACGCATACTCGTCCTGATCTGCGCTCTCTGCCTGCAGGAAAACCTGCACACTGCCATCGTCCGGTTCTGTGTCATCCCTGATATCTGGCAGCGTCTCGGCTACTGAGTCATACAAACCTTGCAAGAATGAAAGAATGTCAGATCTGACAGCCATCTTCTCAGCAGTATTTCCAGCGAAGGGTTTTTTCAGAAACCGGAGATCCGCCGGGGGCGCGTACTTGCCCGTTCTGGCAGCAGTTGCCAGCTTGGACGCTCTCGTTGCACCTAGGTTGAGAGACATGTACGAAAAGCAAGAGCCACTCCTCGAGAAGCACAAGATCAGATTGCTATCAAAAGCACAGACGGTCCAAACCTGAATGCATGCCAAAAGTGCCGAGCCCATGCAGCATCATGAAACCGCGAAAACAAACTGGACGCCCGAGAAATTTCCAGGCCAATCGAGCGTCTCCACGCGCGGTGGACAGACTGATCATCTCTTTCATTCTCTGGAGTACCTCGTACACTGCAATTAACAATGCTGCCTGCGCTACCACTTCTACAGAACAGGTCAGACATGATTATTCCAGAAGACGAGTGGCCACCATGTCCTGATCCAGTTTGTGCAGTGTGCACCATTCTTTTCTGAACGCTCGAAGATCACTCTTTTCTTTTGGAGGCCGGAATTGGAAAAGGCAATTCTTCCGGCATGTTCGATTGCACCTTCTAGATGTAAGCACACTCAAAGTCTTCTCGCTGCAAAAATCTTCCTGCCAGCCAGCCCGGCTATTCCGTTTTCTCTTTCTCGGTCGACATGGTGCTGAAGCTTCAGCCACTTCAGAGGAGACACCGTCCTAGCGAAGCACTGCGGGCACCAAGAGGCCCACGCATGCGAAACAAATGTTGAAAAACAAATACTCTTCCGCCTCTACATCACTGAGCACGAGCACTGGCGGCAGAACGTCGCCCATGCCATCAGCTTGAGTCAGGCAGTCAGACATCACATGTGGAAGCCAAGCGCATATGGCACGCTCATACTGCTTGGCTTGTCCAACTTTTTGGAGGCGCAGGTCGCAGCACACACTTGAGGATCTAAGCGAATTACACGAATTCTTTTCAGACCCCTGAACGGCGGGCAAACCCACCCAGTAAGTCTTGCGCAGCACGAAAAGAAGCCACGGCTTCCCACAGGCAGAAAAGTGCCTTGCACCTACCGAAGGGACGCCTTCAAGCCTTGCTTCAGCCCAGTCATGGCCAGGGCCGCCTGGAACGGCACCACGATGTTCCCGCACATGCGCAGCCGAGATTCGTCCTGACGATTTCTCGTGTTGGACAGCCAATCCTTCATCGGCAAGTCTGCGGTGGGATTCCAACGCTTGGCATTGAAGTGGCCGAAGTCCAAGACATCCTCGCAGCTCAGCTGCGAAGAAACTAAGCCCACGGAAAAAGGGATTCACAGCAACTACGCAACTCTGCCTGCAAGAAGTTGTTGTCACATCCTCGGCGAACGGCAATGAGGAACACCCTGCGCCTGCATGCCTCGGCCAACAATTGCCATGAATGCATTTTTGCTGCACAGCGTCAGCCTGCAGAAGCTAGAACAAAGATCATGTGTTAGAATGTTGGAACTGACATGAATATCAGTTCTATGTGTCACGCAGCCAGGGAAATGCAAGAAGCAGAGAATTTCAGCACACAAACGTCCCACCCCAACCTAATGCTTTAACCTAATGCCTTGGCTCAATGCTGCCCATGCCCTGGGAAAACGTAGAATCATGCTCCAACTTTCATTATTTCTCTTTCAACTCACAACCCACGGACACGAGACCCAAGAACCATGCTCCGCAAAACATCCTGACTCTATAGCATGGCCACAAACAGACTCTGACGCTGGTGGGAAACATGCTGCCCCAAAAGCTTCACGGAATTGCAAGCAAGAACTTCGGACAGGAAATCCTTTAACTTCATTATTCGTACAATGCAGTTGCGCATGCCACTGTGTGAATGCATGAGAACCCCGCTGGAAGTCCCACGTGCGAAAGCCGCAAGCTGCACCAGTGCAACTTCATGTCCCTCTCCACAGCCGCCTGGATCAGGAGACTCGCCAAGAAACTGACACCTGAGCTCATGTGCCCCTGCCTGGTGGATGTAGTTGAAAACCTCCCTGCAGTTGGCCTGCTTGCTGATCAGAGCCGCCACATTCTCAATAACCATCACCTGCCTGGCATGCTGAATGCATTCCAACGACGATACATGAGTACATATGGGCAGCAAGCTCAAGTCCAGGGACCCTTGGGTCAAGGAATCGAAGCAGTGGAACGCCCTCTCGATCAGGTTTGATCTGCAATCCTGCATGCCTTCCTGCCATCCCGCGGATGACACTCCCTGACAGGAGCGTTTTGCAAAATATGAAATGCTGTCCATATCCACCAAGCTATCCCTGCCTGGCACGGGAATCCCGCAAGGAGGGCACGGGCACCAGCAGCAGCTTTCGAGGGCACGTACGTACAAACGTCAGGGAATATTTCACAGCGGGGCAAATTACCCTCCGACATTCTGCAGAGCAAGACCTGGCGGCAAGCGGGATCTGCTTCCACCTGCCCATGAGAGCTTTTGCTCCAGATTGCAACCACATATGATTCGGGAACATTCTGAGCACCGATCCATCTCCACAGGACGAAACCACCTGAGCGCATAGAGACTCGCAGACAGCCAAGAACAAATGCAT